CTACTACTACTACTACTGCTACTACTACTACTACTACTGCTACTACTACTACTGCTACTACTATTACTACTGCTACTGCTATTATTACTACTACTAGTACTACTACTACTACTACTACTACTATTACTACTATTATTACTACTGCTATTGTTATTATTATTATGATTATTGTTATTATTATCATTATTATCATTATCATTATCATTATCATTATCATTATCATCATCATCATCATCATCATCATCATTATTATTATTATTATTATTATTAATGTTAATTTTATTGTTATTATTAAATATTGATTGTATCTATCAACAGACGCAAGAGCGATCTTTTTCTTTCAGTTGAAAATTATGAAAGAATGAGGTCGTATAAAATGTGTCGATCAGCGTATGAAAAAATATAATTGCCGAAAATGAAATGAAAAAAAACATAGAAACGAGGACGGATGATTAGACTTAGATCGTAACGGATCTCCGAGACCTTACGAGAGTCCCATCGTGACCGCAAAACCTAGGAACAGAAGGAAAGAAGAACACACGACACTGTACATTGTAAATATTAGCGCGGAGAAGACGGTTACAGAAAGACAGAGTTAATTAATTAAATGATAAAAATGGGATGATGCGAAGGAGAGCGAGAGAGAGAGAGAGAGAGTGATGTGTGTGTAAGAGAGAGAGAAAGAAAGCGAGTGAAAGTATACGTATGTAAAAAATAAAGAGAGAGAGAGAGAGAGAGAGCGAGGAATGAGAGAAAGAAAGAATGGAAGTAAGAGAGAGAAAAAATGAAGAAAAGATGAAGTTGCATCGAAATCGCGCCGGGCGCGTGAAGCGAATGCACTATCCGGAGGGATATTCGATTCTAGGCGAATTTGAAATAGGAAATATCGTATATGCGAACTGTTCTTTAGATTTCAGAAACGATTTCATCTTAAAATTCGTTATGATTTCAACAATAGATTATTCGAAAATTAACTAGTAGCCTGAAATCGATGTGTCCCAATGGGGTATGTTCGCCATACGAACCGTGTGTGCGGCCATTTTAATAGAGCTAGAACAAATTTTAAGATGCACGGCTGTATCTACGGAACGTGTACCGATCACTCGACTGTAAATCCGTATCGTGTCACAAGACTGCATCTAAAATAATAAATAATAATAAAAAAAAAAACAAAAAAATATATTAATAATGATCTAATAAAAATAAATAAGAAAATGTATAATAGAGAAAAGAATAGAAAAAGTGAGATTAAGTTGCTCATTTTTCTTAATAAGCGCAAAATGGAGCGTAAAAGAAAAGAAAATAATATTTTAATTTAATGCGTGTTCGCGATTCGTTACTTTGCACGCGTGCTTGCCAATTACTATGAAAAAAAAAAAAAAGTAAAAAAAGAATTACAGAAAAGAAAAAGTATGAATCGCAATTACTCTAGTCCTAAGTGGTCCCAGTGTATACGGTACGAAAAATGTACGGTTCTCGAGTGATTGGACATGTTTGTATCTTTTTCTTTTTCTTCGTTCGTTTCTCATACTTTATTTCATACAGTTGTGTCGTTGTATCGCATACCGTTTTACCAAAATATCAAGCAGCAAAGAATCAGCAACAACAAAAGAAGAACATGCAAAACAACAAATGCAGCGCAAAAATGATTAACCTGAAAAAAAGTAAGAGGATAACGCACGATATGGACAACAACAACAAAAACTATCAAAAACAATAAAGAGTATTATTCTATATATAATAATGGTGTTGTGCTATTTTGCAATCCTTTACCCTCAATCTTCAAATCAATTAATCATTTTCATATTTTGAAAAATGAATGGTAAAATAAGAACATATCCATATGATAACTTCATCTTATATTTATTATATCAATGATGATAGCAATGACAAAAAATAGATAATATCCTATAGAAAAAATACAATAAAAAAAGCATAATAAGAAAAGAACAAATAACGAAATGTAACTTTACTAAATTTCGATACTTTTTTTTTGTGGCAGAACTTGCGGTTGTTGGTTCATTCATTTCTTTTCGACAACATGTCATTAATTTAACCGCGTTATCATTCCAATTCATTGTTGCTAAATTAAAAGAAAATTCTTTTAAATCAGTTGAATTCATACGTGTTAAACATTCTTTAAATTTATTTGTTTTTATAATCTGATTAGGCCTGAAGATTTGTATAAATGGCAAATAATGTTTCTTCAGCTTATGAATTGTTCTCATAATTCTATACAAAATGAATATGAAATATTTAGATGTTATAGTAAATTTTAATATATATTTTTATTTAAATAAGAATCTTAAAAAACTTACGGTGGTTCCTCTTGACAAATTAATAAAGTTAAATCAATCAATATACCAGGAATAACATTCAATAGTATGTTAAGTATCGAAAAAAGATAAATATTTTGAATATATATTAAATATGGTTTCCAAAGTACATTATTTGATGGATTTTTTTCTACTTCTTTAAATATTATTTCTGACGCCGAGCCTACTGTTATGGGATTCCAATCAGTAGATCCATAATTATATACTTGTTGTGGTTCTTCTTTTTTTCTAAAAACAAAGAAAAAAAACAATAAAAATACAATTTTCTTTTTTTTTAATAATAATGAGTAAATATAATATTTATTAGATAATATATTTTATTAGATATTATAAAGTATATATTAAAAAATACCTATAAACAACGAAATCCCAGATCATTGCCAGAAGACTATTAGCTGTCATATCAATTGGAATTAGATCCATAGTATCAGTTTTCTTTAGATTTGATACATGTATGTAGCCTAGACTTATTGCCATCGCTAACATTACTGGACCATTTTTATTCTTTGATGGAACTAATTTTTCATTTGTACATACGACTATATAAAATAATATAAAAAATGTTAAAATAAATAATATAACGCAATTTATTTATTTCTATTATTTCACATAAGAATGACAATATTTTAAAATTTTTATCTTTAAAACATATAATAATACTAACTGTAGAAATCAAGTGCAATGTATAAATCTAATTTATTTTAAAATAATATATATTTATTCTTGTATTACAAGATTTGTATACAAGTGTTTTTTTTTAATCTTAATAAATTGTGTTTTTTATTAAAATTTTTTTCATTTTAAAGTTCTAATTTAATTCAATTATACTGCATATAGTTTATTTAAAATATTTTAGCTTTTTCTAGGATTAAATTAAAAATATATTAAAATATAATTATCATACCCATGGAAGGCCTGAAGACAACACAAGGAAGCGATTTTGTTTTGCCAAAATTGTAAACTAAATCTTCAGCATAAGTTTTGCTAAAGGCATACAAATTTACCCAATCTCCTATAATATCGCGTAGTGCTTCATCGGTAATTCCAGATTCATTCTCCTCATCGGCCCGTATCACATCTTCGATTATCTTTATATTGCCCGCAATAGGATAAAACTTTTCTTCGATGATTTGCTTATAAGGATGAGAAAATGCAGTTGAAACATACACGAATGCCTCTAAATGCGAACATTCCGTAGCTAATTCAAGGAGTGTTTGCGTTGCAATTACGTTTAAACGTAATATATAAGATGCTTTTGGTGATTGTATGATCGATCCATTATGAATTATTATATTCACGTTCTCTATCAAACATCGACGATTTTTTGATGATAGACCTAAATCGACTTTGCTTAAATCACCATAAATTGGTACGACTTTCTCTATAAAATTCGGATTCGATTCACGTAATGTATCAAATATCTGAAAATTATAAGTGGAATTATTTAATAAGAAATTATATGATATATTTTTAAATTTTGCAAGTTAATTTTCGTTTAATGCATTAATTAAAAATTATCATCAAAAGAAATCACATTTGACCTATAATGTATAATATATGTTAAGTAATATTCAAATGATTATCGTAAATTCATTTTGAAGTTTTTCATACATTTGAATCTCTTTTACATTATTTTTTTTTTTATTAAAAATAAATCAAAGCAATAAAATATCTTAAGTATTTATTTTAATTATAATTATTTTT